TGTCCGAGCCTTCCCCTGCCAGGTGGACAATACTTCCATACTAGTTGCAAAGAACAGAAGGAGGGCCTCCCACCCCATGAGAGAGGAAGAGAGAAAGGAGGGGGGAAGGTCCAGAGGCGGAGAGTACCACCCTACAGGTCAGTACTTGGAGCAGGGTGTGGCATACCTCGTTTCTGGCGGAACCTGGCTGCTTGGGCTAGCTTTGAGTCAGCATGCCCTTTCTGTCTGGCAACCCCAGGCCAGGGAGGGGACATTAGTGCCTACGTGTGCAACAGAAGCCAGAAAAGGGCCTGTTTCAAGTGAGTCTGTAGTACGCAGAGGGCGACCCTTCTGTAAACCCCACCACAGTCATTTGTGGTAGAGGGAGAGGCCCTAGTGTTGGATGATGGCCTGGCTCGGAGCCCAGGAATGGAGACACGCATGACAAAAAGGAGCGATGACGCTTGAGACGAAGCCACGCCAACTGCTGGTGTCAGGAATCTTCGTCTCAGGTCTGGGAGAGGAGCTGGATTGTGGAGTGCTGACTCACTGATGAGAGTACCTGGCAGGCCCCCAGGCAGGATAGGAGATCTAGGTGGGAGGCTCTGAGGCTCAAGAATCTGGAGAGGAGGACTTTGGAGTGGAGGGAGCGCAGAGAAGGGAGTTTCTCATCTTCCCCCCTCCCAGGCTCTGTCTACAGTGTAGCTATGATCACCCCCAGTTCGTGGAAAGGGAACACTGGAGGCCTTCCTAGGGCATCAGGACGCCGGCTGAGTGCCAAACAAGGACCCTCCCCCCCACACACACTGTGGGTTGGGGGTACACAAACATCAGGTGCCTGGCTCACTAAGGCCCAATCTCACCCTTCCAGCTGTTTTACATGTCATGGCCGAAGCCACAGAGGCCTGGTAGTGCCAGACGAGAAGGGGCTGAGGTGAGCCGTGCTAACCCCTGCCAGACTAACTGCCTTCACCATCAGGGGTGGAGTTCACTAGAGCACCCTTATCCAGGCAGCCTCATGGCAGAGAGGCCAGCACCTGCTTGCTATCACCCCTACCTTAACAACCCGCACGCGCCGCCCCCCCCCCCCGCCCTCCAACTCTCCAGAAGTGAGAAGTCTCCCAGAGAAAGGGAGGGGGAGCCTCTCCTGACAAAAATTTAGATATTACGCTCCCTAAACCTCGCAATGTGACCGTGCATGCACCCATTTCTCAGAAGACAACCGGTACTGCACGGCCAGAATGCCGCTTCAGCAGTGATTCTTGTCCCCGCTAAGACCGGGTTCTGATTCTTTCCCGCATCACCCACAACCCCAGAGAGGCGAGGCGCCCACATGCAGGGCGTGAGGCCGGCAGCCCGCCGTAATGACAGGGCCTGTGGGTGGCGGCGGTGGAGGAAGCAGGAGGAATCTGACTATTTCTGGCCCGGGCGCACCCAGCTGGCTAGAGCCCCGGCCAGGCTTGGCCAGGCTTCCCGGCCCCCTCTTTGCGTCCTTTCCCGGTCCCCTCGAGGGGCGGGGAGAAGCGCCGGTTGGCGGGCTCGGGGGGCGGGGCGGGGCCGTGGACCCACCCCCACGGCCTCCTCCCACCGCAGTCCAGTCGGGTCCCTGCACGGGCCTGCGCTTGGGACCCCAAGTCGCTCGGTTGCTGCTCACGTGAGTCACGCCGCGTCCCCTCCGCCGCGGCCCCGACGGGCATGGACTCAGGTCGGGACTTCCTGACCCTGCACGGTGAGTGTCCCGCCCGCAGTGGGGACCCTCGGGAAAGCCTATCCCTCTCCGGTGACATTTGTACCACCAGACAGACTAACGCCTTGGCCTCTTGCGGGATCTCGGAAAACTTCAGCTCAGGCTGGGCACAACCTTGGGCGTTTCCAGACTTTTCCCCAAATCTGGCCCAAGAGATCGGGGAGCAGTGCAGACTTCTCTTGGGGGTTCCCCTTATCCTGTTCATAAAAGGTCGGGCTCCTCGGTCCAGATGGCACCGAAGGAGTCGGGGAAGGAAAAGAGCAGCGTCCTTGGACCACCGAGTTCTCCCTGGCCCTTCAGAGGCTCCCCAAAACACGGGTGTGCCTGGACCGCGTCAGGCCGTGCGGGCGTGGCAGATGCGGGTGTAAGGGGGTGGGGCGAGGAGGAGGTGTGCAAGTTTGGCTGAGGTCGGTCTGGCAGCCTTCACTGCCTAGAACGGAAAACTACGATGCCAGGGCTGGGAGCACCAGCGCGATCCTATTTGCTGACTCTCCTGGTCGGAGTGGGTCAGGTCTCAGCGAGGACTGCCTTGAGGCTTGGTCCTTTGTCCAGTCGGCTTTGTTTCTTCCAGTCTGGGCTAGCTTCCTCTCCCTCTTCCCTCACTCTAGCAGAGAAGAAAGCCCAGGTTCCTGCTGCAAATCTTAGAAGCCTCCAGAGAAGGGTATTCACGCATACTTCGGGGAGGGGTTTTTTGGAGGGGGGCTTTCCTTCGTGTCTCCTCCTCAGCAAACCCTGCCCCTCTCACACCAATCCGCTTCTTAACAGTACTTCTCAATTTACTCTAGTATCCTTGAGATTGTAGGATTTTTAAAATTAAATTGCATGTAGTGTGTGCGTGAGAGAGAGAGAGAGAGAGAGAGAGAGAGAGAGAGAGAGAGAGAGAGAGACAGAGCGAGAGACAGAGAGAGAGACAGAGAGAGAGAGAGTAACTTGCAGAATCTGTTCGCCCCTTCCACCACGTGGATTCTAGGGCTCATACCCAGGTCACTGGGCTTGGCAGCAATCTCCTTCACCCCGAGATGTCTTGCTGACTAGGTTGTAGATTTTTGTGCTCACCAGTCATTCACCTCACTCGCCCTGGATATGTGCTGTGCAGCCAGTCCCCAATCTGTTTTTTGTTTGTTTGTTGACCTAGACCTTGTGGCCAGAGCCCAGTAAACTAGGGTTCCTCAAGATCACCTTGCCAGGCTGGGTTCGTGCCCCTCCCCCTGCTCCCCCATTCTCCAGAGGCCAGAGGTAACGCTTTTAACTCTTGACAGAATGGTGGGAACAGGGGGCTGGCAGCTCGGAGGCTCCCAGGCTGCACCTCTTCCCTGCCTGCCCTCGAGACCTCTGGTTGCCTCTGACACCACACAGCCTCCGGTTGTGTTGTAACCGGCCCGAGCCTCAGTGTCTGCGCCCTTGTCCCATTTCTTTCCTGGGTCAGCCCTGGTGTTTTCCCCATAGGGAAAGACACAGCGCCTTAGTGTAAACGCACAGGCTTGGCCAGCCTGGTTCGTCCTGTTTGAGACCAGCCCCCTGAACGTGTGACTCAGCCGGGCCCTTCCTGCAGGACTGGAATGTACGCTGTGGCCAAGTTGATGGACCTGTGGGCCCACCGCCGCTAGCATGTCCTCCACAGTGAGCTCCATCAAGCACATTCTGTCTACACGGCAAACCAGATAGGGAAGTAAGAGTGGCCAAGGGGAACTAGGGGGGCAGTGTGGTCACTGTGGCGTGCGCTTGTTAGCGGTACTTCTGATGGGGGGGGGGAGTCTGGACCCATTTCCACAGTGCAGGTCCCCCAGCACTGCTCACATGCTGCCTGACCACACTGTCTGGCTTGGGCAGTTGGGGGTCTGCTGTGGGGATGTCCCTAGTCCCTCCCATTGGCCGGAGACCAATGGACTCACCTAGAGATGAGGTGGGTTCATACTTTCTACTCATGCAGAGGCATAAATTATAAAGGCAGACTCCAGACCTTTTTTTGCTCCAGTCTGACTTCTGTGTGCCTCAGTTTCTTCATCTGCAAAGTGAGAGGAAACACTACCTACTTCACAGGGGTGCTGTGGGGGTGGGGAGAGATAACATCAGACAGGTAAAACATCCAATCCTAATCTCACAGGAGCCACCTCCCCCCCCACCCACCCCCACACAAGCCAGGAGGTGTCTTGCAGGGGTGGGTCGATGATGGAACACTACCAAGGGCAAGTGTGGCTGGAATCAGATGCATGAACCAAAGGGCTCTTTCTACCTCCGAGGCCCGGCAGTTCCGATCTTCTCCTCCAACCCCATATCCCCCACTCTTAGTCCAGCTAAGCCTGGACTGGCATCCTCAGCAGTTCCCAAAATTGTTCCTGAAAAGATATCACCTCCTGGGTCCTTCCCTTCCCTGAAGATGTTCACCCACATTGACTTTCCCTACACCCGGCCCCTGCCCTATGGCAAGAACTGGCATTCTCTAAGAGGGGAAGGAGAAGGCCTCTTCTTAGCCCCGAGAACACAGGCTCCAATCCCAGCCTTGTTATTTACTGTATAACCTTTTGCCTTTCTGAGCTCGTTTCTCATCCAGGGAATTACAATATATTTTTTCCACTGAGGATGTTGCCAGGATGAATTTTTAGTGAGGGCTGGGGATTTAACTCAGTGGAGTGCTGGCCTGGCATGCCCCATTCCTGGGTTCAGGCCTTTTAAGCCTGACATAGTTGCACGTGATTACAGTTCTAGCATTTGGAAGGCGACAGTCATTAGTTCAAGGCTATCCTCGGCTACACAGGCTGTTGGAGGTCAGCCTAGGGCACACAAGATCCTTTCTCAGACAAACAAAATTAATGGGCTTAGGAACTCTGGGTTGCTTAAAAAGTCAGAGCCTCCAAGAAAAACCATCAGAGCAAAAAGGGGTCACCTGTTCCCCACTAACGGGAGTTATGTCTCACAGTTTGTCTGGCTCTGGGGTTCTGGGCCCATGATATACACACATTGACCCATGTTGGTCCCAGGCCATGTGGGGAGTCAGGAAAAGTCTGTAGACCTCAAAACTGCATTTCGTTGTTCCTGTGGGTTGTTTGCATTCGCTGTTGTTTGAGGTTTTTTTTTTTTTTTTTTTTTTTTTTTTTGAGATACGGTCTTACTTTATAACTCAGGCTGGTCTGGGGCTCACTAAGTAGCCCAGCCTGGCCTCAAACTCATGGCAATCCTCCTGCCTTGCACTCCTGAGTACTAAAGTTACAGATGTGAGCCACCATAACAAACGTAGGATCGTGTTTTTAGATGCATAACATCATGTGGTGAAGAATTCAAAGAAAACACAGCATATTGAGATGTGACCACATCGGTCCCAGGGGGTCGCTGTTCTGGTTAAGAGCCCCCATGTGGTTTCTTTACAATCTGGGTAGGCTAGCCAGTATTCTACTCATCCCCACTCCAAATTCAAAGCTCTCCTGTGTCCACAGTTCAGTTCGTCGGCATTAACGTGCCTTGCTCAATATTCATTCTTCGGTGTGACCGTAGACAACCCACTCGCTCTGTGCTTCAGGGTTTTTGTTTTTCCTGTGCTTCTCTGTGCCCCAAACTGGCTGTGCCTATGACTCACTGCTACTGCTGCAGCTGCTGCAGTGAACCCTGTGGGGAACTCTTCAGGATGGAGGAGGGAAAAGCAGGGCTGAGTCAGGCCTCTGGGTGGTGCCCTGACCCTCCTGCAGCAGGGACTCAGTAATTGCAGAGTGAATGAAAGGGAAGTTGTACACATGAAAGGCTCCAGTGTTCCCGAGCACTCTGGCCGCACAGTTCGGCACACAGTTTGCAGTCTTTCTAATTTATTCTAGGCAAGCCCGTGGACGCCTTTTGAGGTCAGCATTATTTTTTCCTTTTTAAGAACTGAGTTTGTAGCCGGGTAGTGGTGGCACACGCCTTTAATCCCAGCCTGGAGGCAGAGGCAGGCGGATCTCTGTGAGTTCGAGGCCAGCCTGGTCTACAAGAAATAGTTCCAGGACAGGCGCCAAAGCTACAGAGAAACCCTGTCTCAAAACAAAACAAAACAAAAAAACTGTGTTTGTGCCGGGCAGTGGCGGGACACGCTTTTAATCCCAGCACTCTGGAGGCAGAGGCAGAGGCAGGCAGATCTCTGAATTTAAGGCCAGCGTGGTCTACAGAGTGAGTTCCAGGACAGTCAGGGCTACACAGAGAAACCCTGCCTTGAAAAATCCTAGACAACAACAACAACAAACCAAACCAAAATAAAAGAAACAAACAAAAAACAACATAAAGAATTCTATTTGCATCTGTTACTTTGGGGATTTCCCTGATTAAATGGGAAACCAAGAAGAAAGCCAGAGAGCCTGCAGCATGCCTAGTCATAACAAATCAGTTGCGGAACTAAGGGTAAGAGATTTGGCCGGCTCGATTGACTAGCTCCGGCTCGCTCGCCTGACCATCTCCGCATCGCTGTTAAACTCTGCAGGCACCAGGATTCCCTCTGCAGTGCAGCTTACTTAGTGTCTGCACTGGTGCCTGGACGATCTTGCAGAGCTGGCAGGGGAGTTCCCGGCCACACGGACGCCCAGTCCCCACCCTTACACACCCTCCCAAGTCGAAGTTTCTCCCTTCCATCCTGGGCTCCGCCTTTCCCGTGCAGAAGCTCCCTCTCCTGGGCTCCGCCTCTCTCTCCAGGGTGCTTCCTGGCTGTGAGTCCTCCACGTCGCGTCCCAGACGGTGACCACGGCCAGCCTCTGTGGGCTCTGCCTCTCCAACCTTCCAGCCTTATTTGCTAGTCTAACACTCTCTGGAGGTGAAAACACAAGGATCGGAATTCAAGGCCATTAGGGCCACACCGGGCCTTCCCCGTCCTGCCTCCTGCTTTCTGGGTTCCACTTCCTCCGCCTACTTTCTGCTCTCTCCAACCTCTCTAGACCATCGGCCCCGCCCGCATGCTTGGCTCCGCCCCCTGAGATCTGACCCGCCCCTTCTCTGAGGTTCTGGCTCCGCCTACTCAGGGCTAAACCGCCGGCCGCCTTAGCTAGGATTTACCTCTTGGGAGGACACCATGCAGTGCCTGGGGGTCCCGAGCTGCAGGCGACGAAGCGTGAGCCGCTCCCAGGAGCTCTACCTGCAGGAGCAGAGTCGCAAAGTGGCTGCGCTCAATGGTCAGAGGCTGGGTAAGGGATGCTGGGGACACTGAGAGCTTACTGTGGGAAATGGGACAGCAGCTGGAATAGGACGCTCCTCCCCTGAGCCTTGGATTAGACTGTTTAGTTCTACGGGGCTGTGTTTTCAGAGTGGGAGCGTGGAGCGAGGACTGGGGTGACCCTTTCCCGAGTCGTCATGCTCCCTTCTGGTTACAGATTAACCCCTGAGTGTGTGATTCTCTTAGAGCTGGACCGATGAGGTCCAGTATGAGGGTGGCAAATGTGTACCTGGACAGGTGACCCCAGGCGAGTGATTCTGTCACACTTGTGGTATTGTGATACCGTAGTATGGGGGTGATAGTTTGTCATGTTGTATACCCAAGTGTGACATTGTGCTACTAAGGTGTCTGTGTGCAGCCCTGTGTGACAGTGTGCCCCTGACAGTGACATGACCTAAGGTGGTGGCTTGGCTGCCATTCTACGTTATGGTATGGGTTTTCTGATTCGGTTACCCGGTGGCTCTGTGTCTTTGAGTGGTGGCCGCATGTTTCGTAGCTCTCATCCTGCGAGCAGGCTTCCTACTTGTGAGTCCCAACTCCACTGTGCAACTTCCTTCAGCCTCGATTTCCTCATCTGTAAAATGGGGATAATGATATGACTGCCGTTCTTCACGGAGTTGCTGAGGGGATTAAACACATGTGCTATGAACAGTATCTTATTCCAATATTAGCTATCATTATGGCGGCTGCTGTTATTATGGTGGCAGCATTCCCGCACTGTGTGTGAAAGACACCCACTCCACGAGACACAGGTAGTGTGGGGCACCGTGTCCTTGGGTGCGAGGTCATGTCTGTGAGTCTATGGTTGTAAATCTCAGTGCATGTCTCCCTGTGGCCGTGTACTGATGTGGGTTCCAGGCCCAATACTGTCTTCATGCACCGTGTTGGAAACACAGACAGACTGCCAGGCATTCCCACTGGCACCTGTGGTGCCCTCCATGTCCTCTATACGGTTGCTTCCCGAGTGGGCAGCCCCTGAGCTCATAGCCCACCCGCCCTTCCAAGGCTGAGTGAGTGGAGCTGGGTGAGGGCTTCCCACACTTTCTGCCTGATAAGACACCCAGAGGCCTCAGAATCAGGAAACCCTTCCCACTCCACGGAGGTCCCTGCCCAGTTTTCCCAGTTCCTGGAGGATGGTCGCTGTTGCCCTGCTGGAGTTATCTGGGTCCACTTGGGACTCGGATCCACCTCCGGGAAGCAGGACATCAGTGGGAGCTTATCATATCTGACCTCGCATACAGGTCCACAGCTGCCCAGGGCAGATGAACTTGTCATCTCTTCATGGTGTTTTCCAGAGCGAGAGGGGAGGGGGCTTGCCTGCCACTTCCCAGGAGCCTCCATTCCTATCCGAGCTGTTAGCAGGAGCTTGCTTAGCTATGTCCAGCTTGGGGGGAAGGCTGCTGCCAGATGGTCAGGAGGGACCCCTCCTAATTGTACCTTAGCCTCAGAAGAAACAGTGGGCCCTTCCCAGCAGAGGCCAGAGGTGGCCCTCTGCTCTGACTGTCTGGAAACTCCCTAATCTTCCCTCCACATAGAACATTCTGTGTGAGGTCCTTCTCTCCTTCCAGATCCCGCACACTGAGAGGAAGCCGCCCATACTGAGGTAGAGCATCTTCTAGCGATGGGTGGACACATGGAACAAGGGCGGTGTCATGTGGCATGACTGTCCTCCCTGAGGACTGGCGATAATGCTGTTCTTACCCCAGGACTGAGGAGGGAGCCCACAGGGAGGGAAGGAGGTCGGGGACGGCCGTCAGGGCCAGGGATGGTGGAAGTAGGAAGCTGGTGAGGGGTGAGGTGGGTGAGTGAGGCCCGTCCATATAGGCTTCTAGGCAATGTGTAGAAGGTAAGAGGGGGCAGCATGGATGAACTGGGAGGGGCTGTCATGGGTGGAAGGTGTGGGCTCAGGAAAGAAGCCTGTGACTGACTTTGGGAGGACTGGAAGCCTAGGCCTAGGCCCTGGTCCAAAACAGGACAGTAGGAGTCTTTGATGCCACTTTCTGTTGGTCACATAGTTTTAGGGACATAATTAGGTGTCCTTCTGGCTTTGGATAGATCTGGCTATAGAGCTGTGTATGGCATAAACGTGTATCTATCTCTGTATCACACTGAGAGTTATTAAGGCACACGGTGTCTCCTTTGTCATCATCAGTGCAGGATCTGTTTGCCGACGATGACTCCGGAGGGACCTGGTGTCCTGGGTCTGTCAAGGGAGAGGCCCGTGACTGAGGTCAAGCCCGCATCTCCGCGGGGACCAGGCAAGCGGGCAGAGTTCTGTCCCTGTGGGCCCGTCTCAGCTTCTGAAAAGACTGAGCTCTGTCTTAAAGCAACTGTTCTCTGAAGGAGCCCAGACGCAGGGCACGCAGTAGTTGGCGGTCCGGTAGGAAAGACCGGGCCGTCCCAGCTGGCAAAACGTAGTCCACGGTGGGCTCACCATTCTCTTCTGGGGCAAAGACAGGAACAGGGAAGAGGGTGGCTGGAGTAGCAGAGGCCCAGGGATCCCCTGGCAGTAAATCATGAGGTCACCAGGTCACACAAACAGCTAGTCAGGAAGTGTGCTGGAGCCCAGAGACAGATAACGTCGGAGCCATTGGAGACACGAGGTTGTTTGGCTCTGAAGGCCTGGGTTCATTTCCAGCTGTGTGGTCCCTGTGTGGTTCCTCTACTTCCTCTTTTAGTGCCGGCTCCCTTCATCTTCCTCTGATCCAGGCCGTTTCCCGGGTCCCCCAGAAAGCACAGGTTTTTGAACTCCACTCATTCAAATTTTCGACAAGTCACAGTGTCTATGGTCGGGCAGAGAATGCAGCACAGCAGTCAGGCGCTATGCACAGATGCCCTGGGCTCAATCCATGCCCAGTGCTGGGCAAAAGCACAATCTTCAGTGGGTAGCAGTCTTCCCTGATGGAGGAAGAGTCTGGGCTGCTGGGGGGTCAAGCGGGGAGAAATGTATTAACTGAGAAGGGTGAGGTTGGCAGAAGTGGGTTCTGAGGGGGCAGAGAGGGACAATAAGAGGGTCACAGGTGAAGAAAGCCGCTTCTCACCAGTACTGACTCTCCCAGGGCTGCAGGATGACCAGGACCTCCAGGCCCTTCTGAAAGGCAGCCAGCTCCTGAAGGTCAAGTCCAGCTCGTGGCGGAGAGAACGGTTCTACAAGCTACAAGAGGACTGTAAGACCATCTGGCAGGAGTCCCGCAAGGTCATGAGGTCCCCAGAGTCCCAGCTGTGTGAGTGCCCTGGGTCTTGTGGCGGGGGTGGCATGGAGTGGAGGCGGGTCATGGATTGGGACCACAGGTGGGCCACGCCCGAAATAAGGACCAAAAAGAAGAAACTTAGGCTGGTTGGGGTCAAGGAAATATTCGAGTTCAGTTGTTTGTTGGGAAAATGAGGTTAGGTTGGCCACAGAGGGCAGTCATGGGTGTTTAACGAGGGTGAAGATATATGACCACGGCTACAGATGGGGACAGTCAGGCTCAGAAGCTACCGTGGAGCTGGGCAGGTTTGTTTGAACTTGTAGGTGCCACCCAGGTCGTTGTAAAGGAGAGAAAAGTGGTGAATCAGCACTCCAGGCATGTTGGGGCCGAGTGCGGGGCCCAAAGTCCGGGGACAGATAAGGTACTTCCATATCAGTGGCCTTAGGTGGGGCTCAGGACGTTGAATCTCTTCTGGAACTAGAGCCGTGGGAGGCTTGGGTGGAGCAGGGGAGGGAAAGAGAAAGTGAGAGTGAGCAGGGCCAGGCATTGTCTTTCCAGAAGGTTCTCAAAGGCCTGGGTACCCAAAGCTGAGGGGATGGGTGTACAAAAGTAGAGCCTCCGGAGACCTTGGGGGTAGCTCTGCAGACATGCCTTCAGTGCAGGCTCCCTGAAAGTTCTGTACGAGACACCCCGTGCAGAGACCAGTGCCAGCAGTGGAACCCCACAACAGTGGACCGCTGCACTGTCCGGTATGGGGGCCATCAGCTCCTAGAGGCCAGTGGGCTCTAGACTTGTGGCAGCCGTGACTGAGGAACCCCTGTTTCACTTTATACCCACAAATGTAGGGGTTTGTGGGATTTTTGTTGGCTGTTCTGAAAAACACTGTTGACTAGGCTTGCCTTGAACTCAGAGTTGGGCGTGCCACCACGCCTGGTATTTGTTTGCTTGTTTGTTTTTAAGGACGGGATCTCGCACAGCCTGAGCTAGCTTTGAACTTACTGCTGCTGCTGAGGAAGGCAGTCCTACCCTCGCTATGGGTGAATTCCTGACGCTTCCCTATATACTCCCTACTCCCGAGTGCTCAGTTTGAGGATGGGACTTGGAAGTGTCTCAGAAATTACTCTGAGTGCCTGGCAGTGGTGGAGCACGCCTTTAATCCCAGCAAAAGCAGGCAGATCTCTGTGAGTTCAAGGCCAGTCTGGTCTACAAGAGCTAGTTTCAGGACAGGCTCCAAAGCTACAGAGAAATCCTGTCTCAAAAAAAAAAAACAAAATAAATAACTAAATAACATAAAATAAAATAAAAAAATAAATCACTCTGAGAGCTGGGCTGTAGTTCATTTGGTAGAACACTGGTCTAGCATAAATGAAGCCCTGGGTTCAATTCCCAGCACTCCATACACTGGGTGGGGTAGCAGCTGCCTGTAATCTTAGTATTGGGAGGGAAAGGCAGGAAGATCAGAAGTTCAGGGTCACCCTTGTCTGCACAGTGAGTTAAGGCCAGTTTAGGACCGTGAATTCACAAAAACAAAAACAAAAGAAGACCACCTTGAGACTCTGCCCCGGCCCAGCTAAGGCCTCCCAGCACAGGAGTGACCCCTGACCATGCCTGTGTCTGTGGCGCCAGACAGGCTCCTACATTGGTCTCTTGTCCTGATACAGGGTTTCCTGTTAGCTACTGGTGAATGGGGGCATGGTGGGAACAGAGGACTTTCATTGGAAAGTGGATACACATGAATTGCTCGCCTCTGTTGGAAATGGGTAGGGAAGAGGCAGGAAAAAAGAGAAGGCCCCTCCCTATGCCCTTTCAACAGCAGCTGTCCCTCAGACTCGCAGGAGCCCAGGGGACTCTGAGAGGCTTGCTTCGACGGCTGCCACAGGTCCCATGCTTAGCAGGCCTTCTTTGCACTTTTTTTCTTTCCAGGCAAGAATTGAGGTTCTTGTCCCCAGTGGCACCTTACCTTGGGGAAACTGAGTCCAGATGACGGAGGAGTAGTACATCCCCCATTCCTCTCTCTGTCTTTGCTAAGTCTCCCCAGGCTCCCCTACAGCTCACCCATTGTTCCCCAGGAATCTTATCAGCAGCGAAGGCAGCTGGCCTTTCTCTCAGGGGCCAGTGGAGGTGTGAGCCTGGGGGCTCCGTGACCCAGGCTTCCAGTTTTCTTTTCTGGCTGAGGGCGGCTCAGCTGCCTAGTGGGGCAAAGAAGGATTAACTAAGGATATGTTCTACATCCCAGATGCTACAGGGGTCTCGTGTCCCAGGGTTCAGAGCCTGTGGCCCAGGCACACATGTGGTCCTGTAGGTATGTGGGAGGCCCCTGGGGCCTCGGAGTAGGCAGAGTTTGGGGAAGGACACGAAGATGTACAGGTAGGCCTATTCTAGGACCCAGAATGACTAAATATGGGTAGGGGCAGTACACTGTGGAAAGGCTGGCGGGTACAGACTGTAGCAGGTACACTGGGATGTCAGTGTATAAGGTCTTGTTTGTCCCTGAAGCTTGGAAGACTGGCTGTGAAGGGGCGGGGGGGGGGGGTTGGGAGCTCACCAGCCTCCTAAGAGCAGAATGATGTAATCTCTAAGACCCGAAAAGAACATGAGGAGCCCACTGTGTCTAACCTGCTGTGATGGTCTCCCTCTTCTTGCCTGCTCCTTACTGCTGAGCCCCCTAGATCTGGGATCCCTCAGGTGCTACAGGGTACCTCTAACGCAGGTAGCTCTAACGCAGGGCTCAATCTTTTCATGAGCTGAGACAAGCCCAGGAGGATAGAACTCTGCCTCCTCTTTACCCCCCTCCTGCCTGCTCTTAGTGATGCAGACTGGCCTCTACTCTGCCTCTTGGGACTGTGGGGCCTTTCTACACCCTTCTGCCAGAGGGCTCCCTGAAGCCAGAACTCACACAGGGTAAATACATCAGTTTTCTCTCTGACGTTGGGCTTCTGTTCTCTGACCCCAGGGCCAGGATTGACCAAGAGTGGCCACCCATCTACTAAGTGGTCAGTAGAGGGGCCAGGAGGCTCTCATGCTGGGGCCCCAAAGTCCAGCTTGGCCTGAAGGGTGCATGACCTCTCTCTCATCAAAGATGCTAAGCTCAGGAATGGTCTCACCCTAAGAGGCCTGTTCTGTGTAATCTTCTCCTACTACCTGATTCCTTACTGTGACCATGGACCTAGGTCCTCGCTGCCCATCCTATCCTAAGATGTCTGTCTTCCAATCTCCCTGCGTGTTCCCACTCTGCCACTGTTGACTGTCTCGTGCCCCGCCTGGATTGTGTCTTTATTTATTGTTCTCCACTCCTCTGCCCTTCTGCCTGGACCCTCAGTCTGAGCCCCCAGTCTGGCTGTGACACTGAGACACTAGGTTGTGCTCTTTGCCCTGGTGGCCTTGGCTGTGTCAGAGACAGTTGTTCATCTCACGGTCTGTTCCACTGCCACCCCCCCCCCCCGCAGTCTCCATTGAGGACATTCAGGAGGTACGGATGGGGCACCGCACCGAAGGCCTGGAGAAGTTTGCCCGTGACATACCGGAAGACCGCTGCTTCTCCATCGTCTTCAAGGACCAGCGCAATACACTAGACCTCATTGCCCCGTCATCGGCTGACGCACAACACTGGGTGCAGGGCCTGCGTAAGATCATCCATCACTCGGGCTCCATGGACCAGCGTCAGAAGCTACAGCAGTATCCTCTTGGGCAGGGCATCCCGGCTGGGTGTGGAATGTGTGGTGGTTAGTTTAGAGCCCCTGTCACTAAACACCAGAATGTATTAGTTACTTTTCTGGTTGCTGCAATACTTGATAAAAACAAATCAGGAGGGAGGGCTTATTACGGTTTGAGGGAATGCTCAGTCAAGGTGGAGAGGCATGGCTGCCCCAGCGTGATACAGGTGCATGTGATACATTGTGTCTGCAGTCAGGAGGCAGAGGGGAGGGGACTCCAGTTCAGTTCCCAGCACCCAGGTCAGCTAACTCGCAATGGTCTGTAGTTTTAGCTCCAGGGAACCTGATGCCTCTGACTTCTGAAGGGTATCTACACACACACACACACACACACACACACACACACACACCATAAAAAAAAAAACCTTATTTAAAGCCAGTGTGGTAAACGTACTTGTAATCTCAGCACTGCATAGCAGACAGGTGGGTCCCCGAGTCTTCCTGGCCAACAGGCCGAGACTAAAACGTGAATTCCAGGCCACTGAGAGATCTTGTCTCAGAAGACAAGGTGGAAAGTCCCTGAGGACCAGAGCCCCTGGTTGGCTTTTGATCTCTACATAAGCATGTGTGCGTCTGCACCCACATGGACAGACATACGTGCACATGGAATTGCTGAGCCGATGCAGTGTGTGTTCACGAATTTACACTTGTGCTGCCTCCCCACCATCATTTTTTGAACAGCTCCATTCTCCTCCCCGCCCCTGGGGGAAAAATGCATTAGTGATTCTCTCATATTTTCTCCCGACACCAGACCTAGAAGCCTCCATCTGTTCTCTGCCCTCTGAGGATTTGCCATATAAGCTGAGCCCGCAGCCCCTACCTAACAGCTTCTTACTCCTAGTGTCTGTGAGCATTTCCTTCACCCTGTAGCGTGGATCTGTACTCTGTACTTTCCGGCTTCCTAAAAGAACCCCACTGT